CTGCCACTCGCCGCCGAACTGAACGCCGAATCGACGGAGTTTTCGCGGGAGTGGTTGATGGACTTGGAGCCCGTCGACGGCGGATTGAAGAAAGAGTCCGGCAATTTCCGCATGCTCCAGGGCACTTGAAGGGGCCGTTTCGAGTCCGGCTTGAGCACGCTGTCGAACAGCGCCTGCAGGTCCGTCTCCGAGTCCTGGTCCACCCGCAACACCTGTTTGCCCTCGTCCTGGTTCAATGCCATCTTCACAACACCAAACCACACCAACTAACACCGACACGGACAAACCAACCAACGATTCATCGACTCCGACACTCGACTACCAGTCAACAAAGTTTCAGACATTAACCAATAGATTCACACGGCTGCGAGTGCGCGCCCCCTTCCCTGCCGTCCCTGCACCAAGATTACACCGACACCGATATCGCTTTTGCTTTATTCTATTCTACGTTTCTACGTCTACGAGTCTACGTTCCCGATTGATTTCGAAACTTCACACTGACACTCGGACCCAACTTCTACTTCTCTTTCTTAGGGCTTCTTGGCCTTTCTTGCGCCTGTCTGCCTTTGACAGACCGACAACCTTGCTGCTTCTGGTTTTCCTACTTCGGAATTGCTCGGAATGCTCACCTCATACACCTGTCTTCCACTTAACCGCGCGCATTCTTATTTCTTACTGCATTGTTTTACACGATAACCACCGAGGGCATCCCAATACACACATTTTACGACGATTACTGATTCCATTAATACGCTTAGCTGCCTACTTAAGTCACTAGCGCCACCTGTCGAACCTACTTAAACTCGAGTCACTGACTCTCAAACACTGGCGTAATATTATAGGGGGCACAGGGGGCATTTATAAAAAATAACAAACAAAACTAAATATGTACAATGAGAAATACTAAATAGGTGTAATTTTCATTGTTTTTCTTTATTTCTCCAAAAATAATCATCTGTGGCTGACTTTATTACTACACCTTGGGCTACAAAAAATAATACGCCCCTCATAAGAAAATACATGCAAAGCAAAGGGGGGAAAAATAAGTTTTTACAAAAAATTAAGAAACAATATACAAGGCGCCCCAGCGAATTGGTAAAATTCATTACTGATTTTTAAATGTTAAAATTAAAAATAAACATATGCATATAGGACATTGATAGATACTAATTTAGTGCATCCCCAGAAATTATTTTCAACTAACTGCAGGGCCGTACCCAAGGGGGGGGGTTAGGGGG